ATTTTCCATTTTCCTGGCATTTCTTGGATTAAAGTATTGTGACAGTGTGTAAATAAGCTTAGGGACTTCTAGGACCATTACATCTCTCTACTCCTGATAAAGTTACACTAAACACTATCCTTATTTTTCAAAATTATTACATACAGATCCAATACCCAATGTAAAGCTAATTGGTGCTGCGCTTATTCTAAGTGAGAAATATACTCATTATAAATATACCACACAAAGTATTAACAATAGTGAAAATGCTATGATAATATACACAAAATTAGAAATAAAATATAGAATAGAATACACATGAAACAACCACATTTATGGATAACAGTGAATGACACCCAAACATAAAAAAGGCATAACCTAGGTACACCACTGGAAATAAATAGGTGACTATGGGTGAAAAATATATATACCGTTTCTTTCATAAATTGTGCCCACAAAAACAGTGATACGATTCTTAAATAGGATCCCAAAAGAACAGTGATAAAAAATAAAGCCACAAGACTTCTATAATCCCAAGATGTACGTATTCACAGTGAACATAACGAAAAATGGGTGAAAGTGACAAAAAACAAAAAAAAAAAAAAAACAAAAAACAGTTAAAACTGTGTATAATGAAAATTTAAAATGAACTCCATATATTCCAGCCAAAATGTGAAGTCCAATACACCTTAAACAGTGAAGGTCTTTTATAGTTCTTAGATAGTGCTGGTGTCTAAAAGTGTATACACAATACAAGGAGATCCGACACTAGGCAAAATGCCCCCTCACCTCCATGGAGTGACCCTTTCTCATAAAATATTGCATCAACCAGGACCCACTTCAAAAGGTATCAGGTACAGCGATCGATCAATCCCCCTCACTGGTGGATACCGGCACAGCAGGAGCCCTCTCCATAGCAGTAAAATTAGGATCAGCCAAAGCTCATGCAGCCAGAAGAAATCTTTGGAGGTTTCGGGGAAATCTCTCTCTAGGGTTGCCTGCTTCTGCCGAAGAGATGTAAGCTACTGTTTAGTCTTTCACAAGTTGTCCGCCAGCTGATAGTTTTGGATCCTGAGCTCCAGGAGCTGAGCCTGTTTATGCTCTGAAAAAATTATACCCATTGGTATAATTACCAATACCCAATGGCCCTATAATCTATTTTAAATTAAATTTGTTTTTCTGCCTTCTTGTAACATCCTCTGAGAACATTTTCCTGCTCACTTCTGTTTGTTTGGAACAAGCAGTGAACGTTAGTGGTGGTCATGTGCACAGCTCTTATGCACACTACATATACCACAGTCCTTCTCGGGAGGAAGACAAGGTGGCTACATTTCTAAATACAGTAGGACCATGGAGAATGAGAAAAGTAGTCACCCTCTAAAGGATGTTGGTTCACAGCAGGGGAATAAAGGAATTTGGAGAAGGCTAAAAAGAAACTGAATTTTTTTTAAGAATACATACTTTTTTCTTTTTTAAACCAGAGTTTTGCATCACTTTATCCAGTTTTTGACAATTGTCTTATGAGCATCCCATTTATTTCAGCGTGCTACAAATAAGATGACCACCAACAAGTAGTTAAATCTCCCAGCAGCAGAGATTGCTGGTGTAGGTCTATTCTGAAGGCCACAGTGGGTATAAAGATCCAAAGACTCCAGTGTAGATAGTCTCAGCGATAGAAGGAAAAAAAAAAATACTGCTTAGTGGTTTAAATCTCCATTTGGTTTTGGGTGGACTGACCTTTCAGGAACTCAGTATGAAAGTGCCATTCTTCCCTTGCTAACTGTAGGAACCTCTGGTGAGGAGAAAATATTGGAATATGCTGAGAGGCATCCTCTTTATGTCCACAGATACTAGAAAATCCCCTGGCTGTAGAGAGGCCACCAGTGCCTGTACCAACTTCTTCCAGAACTTCTGTATGTGGAGAAACTTGTTGAGATGCTTAAGGCCAACACTTCCTTCAGAACTGAGACAGATATTGACACTGAGGCTGAGGCCTGGGGTAGCAAAAGGAACATATCAAGGAAGAAGAGGTACAAAGAGCATCTGATTTTTGAGGCATTTGCTTGTCCTTCCTAAGTGTTAAAAGCAAGCTCTCAATACCCACAAACGTATGTATATATTTATCCAGGTCAGACCCAAACAAAGGAAAAAAGGAAAAAAAAAACAACTCACATGCAAGTTCTTGCAGGGAGGCTCCACAGACCAACACTGCAGCCAAAGAATCCTGCGCATGTGCACATACAAAAGGCCGAAACAAGAAATCTGCTGAATGAAGTCCTTTAATATGTCCACAGTGAAACAAAGGGCATGGGAGAAATCCACAAGTTGTGTGCCCACATCAGCAACTCCAGTAGAAGACTCCAACCCTCTGGAGATACATTTTGCCCCAACTTTAAGACTCAAGGCATAGGATACTTTGAATAAAGATTCTTGTCTTTTCTCAGCAGCATTCTGGTAAAACGTCCATTCTTTGTCTGGTGTAAGGTCTGGGTAGCTTCCCCTTAGTGATTATAGCTGTAGGAATGGTTCAGCTAGAACAAGGCTCCTGATTCCTGTTGAAACCATTGAGACTCTGGTTGGTAAATCATGCAGAGAGCTGCACAGTAGTGACCATCACCTTCGAGCACCAGCAAAAAAAAGAAAAAAGCAGCCAAAAAACAAAACAAAACAAAACTGAAGCCATTTTGGCAGGGAAGGGTTTTCGTCAGTGTCCAATCATCTGTAGGTGGCACATAACGCAGATACTAAGGATTCCTAAGGATTCTAAAATTTTACTAAAGGCAAAACTTATTTTTGTTTTCGATGGAGTGGAGATGGATTAGAACACATATCAGGTTTTATTGCTGTCTGAACCCGTTAGGGAAATTCACCCTCTGAGTTGACATTGAAACAAGAATACAGGGAAGATCTTCCAACAGGGACACTAGTTCGGGTGACCTTGGTGGCAACGCTGAGATTCCCTCACTTTGGAGAGCTTTTCCTTCACTTCCTGTCCCATAGCCAAAACAGGAAGTGAGAGGAACTCCCTCCAATGGGACACAGATGGCAAACCCCCCCTTCCCAAAAAGTAAGGATTAGTAAGGATTCTAAAGTTTCACTAAAGGCAACATTTTTTTTTGTTTTGGATGGAGTGGAGATGGATTAAAACACATATCAGGTTTCATTGCTGTCTGAACCAGTTAGGGAAATTCACCCTCTGGGTTGACATTGGAACAAGAATAGAGGGAAGATCTTCCAATGGGGACACTAGTTCTGGTGACCTTGGTGGCAACGCTGAGATTCCCTCACTTTGGGAAGCTTTCCGTTCACTTCCTGTCCCATAGCCAAAACAGGAATTGAGAGGAACTCCCTCCAATGGGACACAGATGGCCAAAAAAAACCCCAAAACAAAAAAACAACCTGACAGGCTTATAACCCTCCCTTACTCTATGCAAAATGAAAAAAAAGTTTTGCTGTTAGTGACACTTTACAGCTGCTCTGTGTCCAGTGTTGTATGACAAATAAATTGCATATAAAACCAAAAAAAATGATACTCACACAATATAATTATATCAGAATTTTTATCATGTCTTACGAGCCAACTGCATGGACATTTTGCAAAAACTTTTCAGTTATTTTGACAGGGTTTGGAATCAGGAAAATATGACTGAAAATACTGATACAGTCTAAAAATAAAAATACATTTTATAAAAAAAGTGTATGCTGTAAACAGAAAAAACCAACAATAATGTACTTGAACATACTAGTAAGGAAACACAGTCAGAACTGTATACTGACTGTCAGTACATCTCTGCTAGTGAGAGTGTGGTGGATTGTTATCCTTTAGGCTCCACGCACACTGGGCATTTTAATAACGCTGGTAGCATTAGCTGTGTAAAGTCGCATTAAACGTATGTTTTTCAGTGTTTCCCAGCATTTTCGCATTAGCATTTAGCCGCGTTTTTCTGCATTTGCGGATTTTAGCTTTTTTTTTGTTACACAAAAAACATATTTTTTGCTCAATAAATGCCCCAAAACGCCTGTTTGCCGCTTTTTTCAGCATTAGAGCATTTTTACAGCTACAAAAACTCCTATAGAAACCCACTAGTTCTTGTTTTTTTTTGTTCAGCCAAAAAACGCTGATTAAAGTCTATGTGTGCATGGACACATAGTATAACTTGCTGGGGAGTTTACTGGCTGTAGAAAAAAAAACCCGGCAAAAGCCAAAAACAGCAGCTGTAAAAACTCCCAGTGTGCATGAAGACTTCTCTTTGATACTTTGTGTACTGTACATACAATACTTCAGTAGAGTCAATGCAGATTGAAGATGTTATGGGGCAAAAAACTGAAAAATAGAGCAGTTATAAACATAAATATTAAATTATTTGAAACATTTTAATCAGATGTTTCTATCACCAGTTATGTTTGCTAATATACATACCTGACTAGAAGAGGTAGTTTGAGGTCTTAAATAGCATAGTGTTTGCTTAAGGCCACATGCAAACAAATGCTTTCAGGCACCCAAAGTAATGTGTGGGCATATTTCCGTGCCCAGGGAGAGACAGCTACTGCCACCCCTAGTGATCAATGGCTGTACACTAGCATACACTGTGCTAGCAAGCTCATGCACAGATGTAAGTTAACTGTGCATGGATATATACTGTGCTGGCAAAACCCAAAAATAGGTGTAAATCCCTAAATGCAACTTTGGTGCATTCAGGGATTTGCACCCATGTATAAGCATATACTCCCATACAGGTAGCATACAGCCATTCACTACTATGGGAGACTATAAAACTGCAGTTGTCTCTCCCGGTGCTGAAGTACATCTGCAATTAAAATTGAATGCCTGAAAGTGTCCCTGTACCAGAGGCTTCAATGCAGTGGCTGCACCTTCTTAATATTTATGAAGACAAAACATGAAAAATTAAAGTGCTAATGCTGCAGCTCCAGTTCATTCTCGCTTTACTGTCATACCACTGGTCACCGTAGGGCACAGTAAGTGACAGGACATCACCAACCTATTGCTTCTCTCCCAGAGATTAAAGGTCTTTAAATGAACACAACTGTATCCCCATCTCACTGTAATAATTGTGTAGTAGGGGATTTTTCAAGACTTCCATTTCATGCAGACGCTCCCATGACTGAGAAAAGTCATCTGGACCTTCTCCACAGCCTCCTACTGGGGGGACACTGGGGTATCCAGGATGAGTCATAAGTTCAATGCTGATACTGGTACGAGAGTGTGAGCTGTGTGGGGGATTGACAGCTATGAAGAGACTGAATACTATAGTCCAGGGCTTGCTGGATGTTACTTATTGTCATATTCTTTCCCATTGTGCTAAGACCAATATAAATGTCTGGCCACCTGCAATAGGAAACAAGAGACCGAAAACATTAAAAAGCACAAATCCTGCCAAAAACTATTTGTAAGATATATGGACAGATCAGAACAAAAAATAAATCTCCAAAACATACAGTTTGATAAATGATAGCTTGAACAAAAGTGAGGAAAAATGCTCTCAGTGGGGACACAAGAAGCAATGAAACAGTCTCTAGTAGAGTGAGGAAGGTTTAGAACCTCTTTTGTGATTTTATGTGTCCCCATGAGAGCAATTTCCCTTCACTCTGTGCCCAGGTGTCAAACGGGACAGGAAGAGAAAATATTTATAGTGATACAGACAGCTTTTAAAATCTCACATAAAAAAAAAATATGAATGTTAACATAGACAGCATTTAAAAATTGACAGAAATTTTACTTTCCCTCCTCTATAAAAATATATATATATTTTTTTAAAAAACAGATTTTACTGAAGAAATTGTTTTATTAACCTAACCACTTCATGTCCGGACACTTTTACCCCCTTCCTGTCCAGGGCAATTTTCAGCTTTCAGCGCTATCACACTTTGAATGACAATTGAACGGTCATGCAATACTGTACCCATATGAATTTTTTACAATTTTTTTGAGACAGATAAAGCTTTATTTTGGTGGTATTTATTCACCGCTGGGATTTTTATTTTTTTTTGCTATGTAAATAAAAAAAGTCCAAAAATTTTGAAAAAAAAGTGTTTTTTTTAAATAAAATTTTGCAAATAAATAAATTTCATCATAAATCTTGGCCAAAATTGATTCCGTTATTTTTTTAGTAAAAAAAAAATCCAAATTAGTTTATAACCAAAAATGATCATTTTTAAACATTTTTTTTTACATTTTCATTTAATTTTTTTATATTATTATCATTTATTTTTATTTTTTTTTTTACATACTGTCACCCTAGAAGTACAGTGTCACCATGGTGACACTGTACTACTTGTGGGGGGTGATGAAGATTTTTTTTTTTCTTTTTTTTACACTGATTGCTTTTACACCCATATAGGATGTAAAAGCAATCATTTCTCTTTCTCTCTGTCTGCATTCTTGCAGTCATTGAGAAGTACTGAGTGAGCTGTGATTGGTCACAGCTTGTCACATAGTACAAGACTGTTGTGAATAGCCTTGTACCATGTGACCTCTGTGATCATTCACAGATTTCACACGTAGTAAGCAATGATGTCACAAGTGACATCTTGCTTACTACTTTGCATGTGATCACTGATTGGCCAATCAGTGATCACATGATCGGGACCTCGTACAGAGGTCCCGTCCGACGATCGGTGTTTCACTGTGTCCGGAGGACACAGCGGGCACCGGATCGCGGTGCTGCGCGCTGCCAAGGAGCGCGCACAGCTAGAAAAGGCGGGTGCCGTTTATGAATGGCAACCCGCCCCTGGACTGCCACCGCCCTGCCGTTTATCAACAGCAGGCGGACGGCAAGTGGTTAAGAACAACATTGAACTTATTTAAAAATCTGCACTTCCTACTTGGTTAAGGTAATAGCAAGATATTATCCATTGTTGATAGAGCTTAGGATAGCACTGTGCAACAACATAACATATATAATTTTTCAACCAAAAACTGTGAATAAAGTGATAAGTCCTTCCAATATTGTCTTATCCATAGGGACTCCTAATAAATGTGAAATCACTTTGTTGTAGTGACAGTCCTTTAAGATGCAATACTGAGAAACAAAAACCCTGTGTGCTTACACTGAACTGGACGTGACGTCACTGGAAACCGGAAGTGACAGAATCACGCTTCTACGTACGTTTCGCCGGGAGGGGGATTACAGGCATTAAAGACCTTCCTGGAATCTATGAATGCCAATGTTTATGGTATTCAATGTACCAGTAATATCCAAAGGGAGGTCTTCCAATTTCTGGATCTGGAAACCTTTACAAGCGGTAATAGATTAGATACTAGAACCTTTTTTAAAGAAACAGATAGAAATAGTTACATTTCCAAAAGGAGTTGTCATCACTCGAAATGGTTGAGAGCAATTCCCAAAGGTCAGTTTATGAGGATAAGGAGAAACATTGATAGGAGGGAGGATTATAAAGAACAATCAGAGAAATTATTGGAAGGATTCCTGGAGAAGGGATATAAAAAAAGTAGAGTTCGAACAAATAAGAGAACAGGTTGGAAATATGGATCGGGACGCATTACTGGTACCCAAGCCTAAGAAAAGCTCAGGCACAGATTTGGCATATATTACGGGGTATAATTTGCGGTATAAAGAACTAGAAAAAAATCATTGGTAGAAATTGGTCTATCTTATTGAGGGATCAAACTTTGAAACAAATCCTACAAAACAAACCCACATTTATATATAAAAAGGCATTGGGTCTTAGACATATCAACTCCAAGGACGTGGTGGAAACCCCAAGGAGACCCCCCACGTTCTTGGATGCCACGGGCTCCTTTAAAATGTGGGAAATGTAAGGCATGTAGGACGGTTAGAGACAGAAGTAGCAGGATAGACAGATTTGCATCACATGTGACAGGAGACACCTATGCTATAAAAAAGCTTATCACGTGTGATTCGAGATATGTTACCTATTTACTTACATGTCCATGTAAACTGCAATATGTTGGCAGAACCACTAGAAAATTGTCTACACGCATAGGGGAAACCATCAAGAACATTAAGAATGGATTGAGACAGCATAGCATCTCTAACCATTTTCGACTGAAACATAAAAAGGATAGTAGCCTTTTGCAATTTTGGGGTATAGATAAAGTCCCCTAACATCGGAGGGGCACATATATGAGTTTAAAAGTCTCACAGATGGAAACCCAGTGAATCCATCGATTGCAAACACTGGACCCAACAGATTTAAAACCAGGATATAGACTTGAATTGTTTCCTTACTGATTATTAAAGAACATCTACCTCCCATTAATTGTGAGGGAATGGGTAGGATCGGAGGGATTTCCCTTAGCCCTAGGGGACCCCTTTGTGTAAATCCATTAATTTTGAGGTTTATCATCTATATATTAAAATGTATTCCCACCAACATATACATTTATCCCTATATTTTAGTAGGGTCATAATATCGTATATTGTATAGCTGACCAAAGCAATGCAGGGACAACCCAATAGGTGTTGATAACATGAGATTGTTGGGGGTATCTGTCCCTTAACAACTATGGATCATTACCTTATGTTAGCAGCCCTAGTGAGATATTCATCTGTATGTTAGAGTCCCTTTATATATTTATTTATATATTTACCCATAGCTCACTGGGGGAGTGTTGGCATTTGGTATAGGACTACACCCGCTGCTCAATTATGATTTCCCATATATAATATCCAATTTCCCTAGTAATATGTTTAATATTATGATGTAATTAGGTAATTTAATAAAACAAATTTTAGGGAGGTTCAATTATGTGGCTCTGTTATTTTATTATTTTATTCATTCATTTAATTTATTTATTTTTACATTCATTTTCATTTACATTGTATCATTTATTTTAAATAGTGATATTTGTTTAAATATATATGCTGTTTATCTTATTATTTTTTACATTATTTTTTTTTATATATTAATACCTTTTCTATCTGATGCAAGTTCTTTATTAATCAGATTGTTTTAAAATTAAATTATTTTTAGTAGTGTATAGCATACCGCTATGAACTATATATATGTCCATGGCCAAGGTCCCTGTATAAACCTAAACCGCAGCAATATGTGTAGCCTGTACAAATCGGGAGCAGCCTGTTAAGACGGCCATTAGTTCAGAGCCGCCCAATAAGGTTGCTAGCTCTGGTTTTGGAGTTATCCAATCAGTGAGTTTCAGCCCTTATTTAACTAGCCTGGTTATGGCGGCCTTCACTTCCTGAAGATGTCATCAGACGAAATGTACGTAGAAGCGTGATTCCGTCACTTCCGGTACAGCGTAAGCGAGGATTGGTATGCATGTCGGCCAATTTTGGATCGCAATAGGCTATACATACTGGTGCCAGTTAACAGGGCACCTATACATGTGAGTGTATACTTGTATGTCTACATATTTTAAGCTTTTCAATAAATACTGCACTTAGAACATTTAAAATCTACTCTGTTTATTTGAGCCGCTTGGAACTATTCCTCAATGGCAAGGAGTGCCTGACATTAGAGTATCTGTTCAGTGTTGGTCCATATGGAATCCTTTGACTATTTTCCTGAGGCCATTACCCTTAACATGCGGATGACTGAGAGGAACACCTTGGGACAACTAGAGGCGGATTTCCTTGCATGCAATACAAATATGCGCTTTTGACCACCTTAACCTGGGTCAAATATGTTTGGTGAGTGAGCAATTCACTTATTCTTTCTACACATGGTGAAGGCACACAGGCTTTCATTTCTCAGTATTGCATCTTAAAGGACTGTCACTACAACAAAACGATTTCACGTTTATTAGGAGTCCCTATGGATAAGACAATATTGGAAGGACTTATCATTTTATCCACAGTTATTGGTTGAAAATTTAAATACTGTATGTTATGATCATGTTATTTGTTGTACAGCGCCAACCTAATCACATTTGTAATTTGTATAAGTGTTGATTCACTATTTGGGGGCTGCTAATCCACACAGCTGGTATAGTGTGGGAACAATATTATTGTTTAGCACAGTTAACACTAGGCGCCACAATATTAAAATGTGATCATATTGTTAATAGAGCTCCCCATGCATGGCCCACATAGGTGTGCTTGCCAGGGGACACGTTTACGTGCCCATCTGTTCCTCAAGCCTAGTACCAGTATGTTCAGAAGTAAATACCAAGCCACTTCCCACAGTCGCAAGGGCACCACTGTCTCATAGAACACAGTTGGATGCTCTGCCTTAGAATAACTTTGCCGGAGAGCGCTGCTAGAAATCGGTCTGACCTCTGGTAATGGAAGGCCGGGAACAACACTCATAAGGTTGTGACAAGTGAATGTACAAAAAAAGAAAAAAGAAAAAAAAAAAAGGAAACCTTTCAAGTGGAATCTTATTTTTAAAGAATGCTAAAGCTATCAGTTCTTAAAGGAACTAGCTGTGCGCGTTCTGTGTTCCCCTTTTGTGCTCCATTTAGTGTTGATTTTTCCTGACATTGATACTGATAACTGCATGTGTTATGGAGAAATAGGTGAGCGCAGTATTTTTACTGAGCAACAACAAAAAAAAACTTAATGCACTAGGTGTGTACCCTATGCTTTTTTGTTCTCTTTAACCACTAGACGCCCAGCTACTGTATAAAAACGGTGGCAGGGTGGCACAGCTGGGCAAAAGCACGTTTTAAAACGTGATTTCAAAAACAGGTAGGGGGCACGCCGTCGCCCTACCTTCATCGCCGATCTCAGCCGCGGGTGTCAGTCGCCGGGTCACAGCTGGTTATCATCAGCTGTGTCCTGGCGATTAGCGGCAATTTTTGGTCTTTTTTTGTTTATTGCGTGAATAAAAAGCGCACAGGTGATCAAATCCCACCGAAAGAAAGTATTTGTGTGAAAAAAAAGGACGTAAATTTTGTTTGGGTGCAGCGTTGCATGACCGCGCAATTATCAGTTGAATTAGTGCAGTGCCGAGTAGCAAAAATAGGCCTGGTCATTAAGGGGGGTAAATCCTCAGGAGGGCAAGTGGTTAAAGGGACACTGTTACAAAGCAAACTACATCCCTGGAAGCTTCTATTCTAAGATTTGCAAACCACATACTAATGCCAAGACAAAAGACCTCATACAGCAAAGCATGCCGTAAACCTCAGAAGAGAAATGCAAGGGCTGCCATTGCTCACCTCCCTCTGATAATAATAGCCTGGTATACTAATACTTAGTCTGCAATACTTTCTTACATTTGTGTTTACTTTTAGTAATCAAAGAACTTCAGTTCTAATACCATTGTTTTCTTACCGGATGCCATGGTTTTTGAAAACTTCAACTGTGTTTAAGGCATCATTCTCCACCCCTCTGTAAAACTCCATTAGTTCACCCTGAATCCAGTCACACTTATTGAGACCTACTTCCACAGGAACACGAGTATAGGGGATTCCATGTTCATGCAGCACTTGTGCAAACACGTCTCTGATTCCTGGTAAAAAGATAAACACACGTAAAAAAGAAAAAAGAAAAAACGTCATCACAAATTAAATAGGATTTTTCTCCTACTTAACTTCTGATGTATGGCAACGAAACCATGCAAGTCATGTGTGGACAGTTAATATGCCACCCAAATATAAATACATTCCAATTGTGCCAAGCAGAAATATATACAGTTAACTGCCCAACATACAGTGTGCATGCATGTATATGGTAGGGACATTAGACAGTAAACGCCTGCTGTGGGGATGGCAGTGGGTATGAATAGTTCTTTGTAGCCTGCAGAAGGTAAAAGAAAAAAAAAAAAAAAAAAAGAAAAAGAAAACACTGTAACAATTTGCCCATTTACCTTACCATCACACAACTATGGTAGCAGCAGGCAGCCAAAGCCAGCCTATCTTATGGGGAAAAGACTAATCGAACAGATCATTTCTGCAAAGTACAATAAAATGCTTACTAATGTACATTTTCACAGTTTGTCTATGTGTTGTCTACTTTTGTGTCAGACTATAATAAATAGCACCGTATAGTAACAAATAAAAGTTAATCAATTAGCAAAATACAATCCCTGCTCATTCGAATGTCTTAAAGCTGTATGATACAAATAGGGGACATAAGTGTGTACGGATATATCCTCTCCAGAGGTCTAAGTACCATGCAGTGTGTGAAAAGGTGAACAAAATACAGTCTTTTTATCAAGGGAACGTGTAATGTAAAACCTTATTACTGGTCAATACAGGACTATATTTAGCTAGTTCAAACACAAAAGTGATCTAATAAAGTTAAGGCATCCTACTACCAATGTCGCCTTATAATTATAACTACAAATATATGAACACATAAAATTGTTGGTAGTAATAAATATATATATATATATATTTTTGTGACAGTATGAAAGGCTAGGTGATCGATGGATGCTGTGTGTCACCTTGCATGCGATCATATCTGGGAGATTAGGGTGGAGTCCACTCCGGGTTTTCTGGGCCACTATGGCAGAGGTGGCTCCAGACCAGATTTTGAGGTCCACTGATGACCATCAGCAGGTGGTATAAATCAGGCAGGACTGGAGCAAGAACTTGCTCTTGGCCTGTGACTCAGAGAGCCATATCTGAATGAGCTGTGGATGAAAGTTTGCATTATACAGGAAAGGAAAAGGTTTGCATACTGGTTTCATTTTGTTGGTGACAGGGAGAAGCCCTTCACCGTTGATAGAGGAATCCCCTATGTTTAGTTAGTGCCTGCATGGCAAGGATTTATTTTCTGTTTTGTTTATGATGCTTGCAACCTTTTAAATAAAACCGACAAGTCAGATTTTAAGAAAGCCCTGCTGTCTGGACTACCTTTTTTCCCAGGGAAGGCGATCCCTCACCTGAGCTACCCCCACATATGGTGGATTTGGCGGGCGACTTCCTGAGTATGTGGGAATAAGGACGTCATGATAAGAGCCTCTTGCTGCAGGCCACTGCAACCCAGCAGGAAACCAATTGCCAGTTTGCAGAGGCCAATGCAGCACAACAGGAGGCGAAGCGCCAGTTTGCGGAGGCCCAGCAAGCAGACCGAGAGCTCCTTAACCACTAGCCTACAGGGCACTTATACCCCCTTCCTGCCCAGGCCAATTTCCAGCTTTCAGTGCTGTCGCACTTTGAATGACAATTGCGCAGTCATGCAACACTGTACTCATATGAAATTTTTATAATTTTTTGTGACAGAGCTTTCTTTTGGTGGTATTTAATCACCTCTGGGTTTCTTATTTTTTCTTAAAGAAATCAAAAACCACTGAAAATTGTGAAAAAAAAAAAAAACATTTTTTTCTTCATTTTTGTTATAAAATTTTGTAAATAAGAGATTTTTCTCCTTCACTGATGTACGCCAATGAGGCTGCAGTGATGGGCACTGATAGGCTGCACTGATCAACACTGATAGGTGGCACCGATAGGCACTGATGAGGAGGCAATGGTAGGTGGCACTGATGGGCATTGACAGGCATCACTGATGGGCACTGAAAGGCAGCACTCATATATGGCACTGATAGGCGGCACTGACTGGTACTGTTAGGCGGCACTGATGCACACTGATAGGCGGCACTGACTGGCACTGATGGGTGACACTGAAAGGCAGCTCAGATGGGCACTGATATGTGGCATTGATGTGCACTGGTAGGCACTGAAATGTGGCAGGTGGCATGGATGAGCACTGACAGCTGGCACTGATGGACACTGACAGGTGGCACTGCTGGGGCTACACAGATCATCAGTGCCCTGATGATCCGTGTACATGTCCCCTCCGAGGAATGCGGTTTACCAGCTCTCCTCTACTCTCGAGCTGTCAGCATCTTACTTGGTAACACGTGAACATGCTGATGTCCATCCATATGCTGAGGATTCTGTCCTGTCAACTCCCGAAACAGTTTGACTTGAGCGCACAGCTCCTGGCGAACCTGCCAAATAAACATGAGGACAGTAATATCTATTATGATCAGAAGCTTCATCTCATCCAAAAACATAATTCATGGCTTAACTACTTCAAGTGTTACTAAACCCACAAGAGTAAAATCAGTCTGTATATGCAACAAAGAATGCTTGTTATACTCACCGTGGAACCTAAGGGGTTAATCCTCTGCATTGTGTAAAAAAAAGTCTGTTTGATCCTGTATTCGCTGATCCTCCCCTTCTACTGTCCCCAATCCATTTGCTGATAGTACAGAGCTCTGTATGTCATTCTGTACACTTTTCACTTGCTCAGTTTGGTGTGTATTGCTAAAGAGTTATTTTTCTTCTTTGGGAGGGTGCATGAGATCAGCACAGAGCCAATCAGCACTGTCCAGACAAAGGGACAGGGGACAAGCAGCCTCATAGGACGGTCAGAGGAGAATGAAAACTCCTCCTACAGGCTTTAACCAGTGCTCTGCTGGACACTGATAGAAGTCACAAGACTGCTCTAACTGCTGATGAGAAAAGCTATTTAGCAATTTATATTTACTAAAATAATTGCATTTCCATGTTCTGTGTACTGTGGGAGACCAAATAGAGTGAATGCAGGGTCCTGGATTTAGTAACACTTTAAGTCCTGTAAATGACTTCACAACTCAAGCAGCTGGAAAACTTTAGAAAATAAGAGAATCAAACACTCTACTTGCATAAAACTATGAGAATATAAAGTTGGTCCATTAAGCACCAACTGCACATAAACTAGCCATGTAATGTAATCCATCCAAGAAAAAAAACCCACTACATGAAAAGAATAAAACAAAAACCCTTGTGGTTTATGGGGTCTCTTAAACGTTAATGTATATACATCATAAGCAGGAAAGGGGTAACTTTTAGGCAAGACTAACAATGCCCATTATTCTTTTCCCACAATTCTCACATTTTGATTGCCATAAAAACCTTTTCTTGTTGAGCTCACTGTGGGAAAAAAGAGCATGCTTTGGGGGAAAATGTTCCACTTAAAAAAAAGGGTAGACGCTATCTGCCACCAAGTTCCAGCCTGTATGTGTAAAACACAACCACTAAGGAACCATACTTGACACATGAAATGATTGGCCAGGAAACAGTCTGTCTGTACTATGGATAATATATAAATAAAGGCTGGTTTTAGCAAAAGAAGGTGGGATTGCTTTTCATCTTCCTTCTACAGTTGCTGTTTATTGTAGGTTCAACTACTGCTGCTAGAGTTCTTGGACAACTCACTTGGCTGTGTAGTAGGTTAAAAAAAACTAGTCTGAAGGAGAAAAATTCAGGTTGCTGCCTATATTGGTAGTTCTCACATGCACGGCTTCTGCCATGTCCAAATCTGAATCTTCCAAGTAAAGTAGGCGAAAACAAGATGCTGGTGCGATTATTTGAGCAGTGCAGCATATGCTTTTGATATTGGCAGATAATTGACTAGCCATTCAAAGACAGAGTTAGGTAAACCCCTTTTCCATAGTGTGGGTCATAGTCCACACCAAAGCTGGGTCAGCTGCGCAAATTCCTGAAGGTCCAGAGGAAAGCTTTGGATGGCCTGAATGTGGCATGACAGGTTAGGCTGACCGCAGGACAGCTTTACCTTGAATCTCGAACAATATAATAGTAACTGCTACTAGATCCAGAAATGTCAACACCTGACCTGCGAAACAGAAGAAAACACTACCTATCTAAGGTGTTAATTTAGCACTCTAAAAGCTGGCTGTACAAGTTTTCCAGCATGTCCCTTCAACAGACGGTCAGTCAACAACCGACTTCTGTTGAACATTGACAGCCACACACTGCAGAACTGACTGCATTTTGAGCCATCTATGGCCAGCTTTAGAGGCAAGAGTTAATAAGACCTTATGCATAGGTGCTTTTTTAGGAATAAGTGAGCAGGTGGCAGAAAAAATCTCTGGCACTGAGAAAATGGACGCAAAGAAGAGAAGCACAGTCAGAAAGAACCATTGAAAAAAAAAAAAAATCTGAAGAAAGGATGAATGCCAAACATGAAAACACAAGATTGTTTCTACAAGTACAATAAAATGTTTACTAATGTGCGTTTTTACAGTTTGTCTATGTGGTGTCTACTTTTTGTGTCAAACTATAACAAATAGCATAGTATACTAATATAAATAATAAATTACCAAAATGCAGTCACTGCCCATTCAAATGACTTCTAGCTGTAGGATACAAACTGTCCCCTATACCTGGATGTGCCTGTGCTGATAGACGCATTCCAGAGGGAAAAAAGGTGCTGTGCAGTGTGAGAAAATTGAAATGATATACGTTTGTTTACCAAGGGAACATGTTATGTAAAAGTTTAATACTGGTCATCTAAATAATTATTTTAGCTTTTCCAACCACTTTAAACTAAACACACAAAGACAATCTAATGAGTTATTGCATCCTACTACCAATGCCTCTATATAAATGTAAATGCAAAATATAGGAACATCTAAATCTAGATAGTATTGTGGCTTTGAAAATGATTAGAATAAAAAGCTGGCTGAAAGTGGCTGCATGCGGTGGACATCATGAAGGAAGAGATGGTGGCACTGGCATGCAAATAGGGGTAGGGAATTGGAACCTGTGGGAAGCAACATGTGTAGGCAGCCCCTCTGCCCTTCAACAGGTTTATACTGGCAACATGCCCCCTATATGTTCAAGTGTTTTTTTTGTTTTTTTTTTTTTTAAATATTATTAGATGGCGGCAAATTTAGCATTTTTATTGTTTTGGTTATTTTAATCAACAATCTGGCACACAAAAACAACATCTGGTTAGTTTATATCATATACCCACCTCTGCCATGTTGAGAAGACCTTGCACTAGTGCTTTTCGGATACCCATTTTACCATGAAAGACCCCCTGTGCACCGATAAGGGTGGAGTTGTGGTGAAGTTCTCCACATACTGGGATTCCTTCTGAGAGATTTGCATGCAGACCAATTGGTATACTATATCTGTACAACAAAACGAACAAAAAAGGCAACCATTTTTTTTTTCAATTTTAGGACATCATGCCTATGTAATAAAAGACCTATGAGCTCTTATTTTTATTATCTGAGTGATAAAAGACCTTTGTGCTCCTGTTTGCATTACTCATTTGAATTTGTACTAAAATACAGTACTTGTAACTAAAGTTTGGCTTGTGTCACACAGACTTGTGGGTCAAAGCAGCATTTTAGGTAGTCATATTAAACAGATAATCAAGTTTATTTTTCCCTCTCATTGCAGTGGCAAAATGAACAGTGAATACATGAAAATCAACTGAAGCCATCCTTTACAAGCAAACATTAACTGGATCTGTACAGTCAAACCTGCAATGACAGAAACACAGCTGTGGCTGTTTTTGACCTCCTGGTTTAAAATGCTAATTGACTGGCATCTATGCTGATCCAACAGGGTTTAATATTATCTAACTAACCCAGAACAAGTATGAAGATTAAGAGAGTCAGATAATTATCTGCATACTCATTCCAGGTCTACAATTCAAAGAGTGTCAACAAGACAGCCAGGCAAGCCTTAACCATAGACTCTCACTTTTCCTACTGCAGCATTGGATAAAATTACACCTTCACATGAATCCTTCAAGCCCTGACCAAGAACATATGTCAAGGGTAAAATACAGCTAACCATACCGGGACACCTAAAGGGAAAAATGTGCGGTAAGAGTAGAGTATACAAGCAGGCAGTAGGGAGATGCTGTCTACCTCCTGAACAAAGCCAGGGTCACAGTAGAAGAGAAGAAGGTGTATTTTTGGTTTCGTGCTGCCCTAGGCAAGACTAAAATCGGGCACCTCCCCAATCTAAATTTGTCTCAACGCAGCAACCGTACAGCTTCCTCATCAGACCCCGAGACATGATTCGTCCAAGTGCCACATATGTGGTCAATGGGCCAGAGGTCGGGGTCAGCAGGGCAGAAGATGGGTCAGCAGGGTATAGGACAGGGCACAGTAGGGCAGAGCATGGGTTCAACAGGGCAGAAGATGGGGTCAACAAGCCCCTCTCTCTTCCTCCTGTACACTATGCACATTCTTCTCTCTCTCGAACATTATACACACTTCTCTCATGAACCCCCCCCCCCCCCAATATCACGGCTCCCCTCACCACCCTTTTCCCGGAAACCCTCTGTTCGTTCCCCTCTTGGTCATTGGTCCATGCCCCCGTGACCCTCCTCACCCTGTCTCCGATTGGCCCAAGCTGCTGCCCGACCCCTCCCTGGCTGTAGTCATGAAGGAAGAAGGTGAGAAAACAAAAACAATCGTTCGGGGCCGCCATCTTGGGGGGTTCGGTGGCAGCTGAATGGGGTGGAAAGGAGATAATAGGAGACGGCAGATGCTACTAAACAAAGAGGTGCCTCCTCCATTACCTTGCCGTGTGTGTATGTGTGTGTCTTCTTACATGGGGGCCTCCAACCTGCTGCTTCTCCTCATCCTGCCCTCAGACCCTCACTGTTTAGGAGCAGAGGTGGCTCTTTAATTAGGCACATTAGGTGACCACAAGGCCTAAATAAAATACCGCTCAAGGTAGATACGCCCCTTCAGTCAAGTGGACTTAATTGAGGTTCATTCACTGTCAAGAAGGACCTACACATAGCTAGGCCAGTTCACCAAAGAGGCAAGTCACCTTATAGTGACTACTTATCTTATAGAACATGGGTGGGCAACTGTGGCCCTCCAGCTGTTGTAGAACTACAAATCCCACGAGGCATTGCAAAACTGACAGTTACAAGCATGACTCCCCAAGGCAGAGGCATGATGGGGTTGCCCACCCCCTGTTATAGACCTATCCCAGCCATAGAAAGGAGTGGGCCCAGACCTTTACCTGCCCGTAAAAAGTAAAGAGAGTGAAGGGCAAATTCGCCCTTCAGTCTCTTTACTTATAAAATTTGCCATTCAGTCTCTTTACTTTTTACGGGCAGGTAAAGGTCTGGGCCCACTCCTAAAAGGCAAAAGTTTTTTTTTCCCCATTTTGGATAGAGCCATGGAAGGTAAAAACCCCTGTCAATTTTTCTTCACCATCTGTGTCCCATTGCTGAGATTTCCCTTCACTTCCTGCCCCATAGCCAAACAGGACGTGAGAGAAAATCCCTTCAGATTAAGGGAATCCATTGAGGATTCCCGGGTCACCAGAACTAGTGTGCCTTTTGGAAGATTTCTCCTCTATTACTTTTCTGGGGCAACCAAAAATGTGGGATTTTCTTTTGCTTTCACTTTCAATGATAATGGTAAAGGGTAAGGGTTCTAGAAAAAAAAGAAAAGAAATGGTTTGCCTTAACTTATATGTTAAATGAGAGTAGAAGCAAACGGAAAATTGTATCAAATACTTACCGTAATTTTCCTTTCCTGCTGCCAATCCATGGCTGAGTACATATCAGGGGCGGACTGACAACTCATGGGGCCCCCGGGCAATAGGGGATCATGGGGCCCCTGTGTCCTTGCCTACACTCAAAGCACACACAAAAAAGCCTATAAAAAAGGTACCAGGGGCATTTCATGGGGCCCCCGGGCAATAGGAGATCATGGGGCCCCTGTGTCCTTGCCCACACTCAAAGCACACACAAAAAAGCCTATAAAAAAGGTACCAGGGGCATTACATGGGGCCCACGGGCAATAGGAGATCATGAGGCCCCTGCGTCCTTGCCCACACTCAAAGCGCACACAAAAAAGCCTATACAAAAAAAATAAATAAATAAAAAGGTACCAGGGGGCGTTTCATGGGGCCCCCTACTGACCCCGGGCCCTCAGACAGCGCCCGAGTGGTAGAATGGTCAGTCCGCCCCTGGTACATATGGTAGTATGCTGCCAGGAAAATAGAGAATTGTGTCAAATGCTTACCATACTTTTCCTTTCCTGGCATTAATCCATGGTAGCATACTACCACATGCATGCTGCCATGTTGGCACCAGGAAAAAGGAGTTGGTAGAGGACTGCAGATGGGAGCACTAGGCTGAACCAATTTCCACCAGTTTACAAGTGATTCATCTTTTTTAGACATAGGAAACCAAGACTAAGCAGTTCTGTGGAAGGAGTTCCTCTTAAAGTTTCTGGTGATGCATTTCCCGTTTCTGGTGGAGAAGGGGCTCATTTATGTACTGATGCAATAACGGACTTGGGAAACTATAACCCACTGGCTGTGGGCACATTTACTAGACAGGGTAATGAGGGATTCAGTGAGCGCTAACCGACACAGCAGCTGATACACTAAAAAGAAAACCATCAACCTTCAAATAAACAATATAAGATAAATAGTGCAGCGCTATGTTATATGACTGTACCAGTATTGGAGATGGTACAATATCCCTTACTTAAATATCAGCAGATGTGGACCATATGCATTATATGTGACCAAACACACTATATGTGATCTTCCAATAAGTTGGAAACAGGAGGAGGAGAAGAAATGACATAAACTCCAACAATTTTCACTTCACAATACAAAACGCACAATATAAAATGCACAATATAGTCCAATCATCAAAGAAACACAGATAAGTGTATCCCGATGAGATCTTTGTAATGCATGTAGTCCGGCAATGTGCAGAAGAAATGAATGAATTGCGCACATCACCGGAAGCACAATTTAAATGTGCGTTTGTGTCTCATACACCAAAGATCACTCCGACTGTGGATGAAAGGAAACTCCAAAAGATGGTTCCCCATCTGGGGATTCCTACTGGCATACAGGTTCCAAACAGGATCAGCTGGATATATCTCTGAGGGAGTAATCGCCTGGTGGTCCAGCTGGTATAGAAGAGTGGCCGCCGGACCTCCTTTGATCCGGCGGTTTAGCGTCACGGCTAACAAGGGCTACTCCTTGACGCGCGTTTCGTATCACACAATTACATCATCAGAAGGAATAAGAGCCATCAAGGGCTCTTATTCCTTCTGATGATGTACGTGTGATACGAAACGCGCGTCAAGGAGTAGCCCTTGTTAGCCGTGACGCTAAACCGCCGGATCAAAGGAGGTCCGGCGGCCACTCTTCTATACCAGCTGGACCACCAGGCGATTACTCCAAAGCTCAGAGATATATCCAGCTGATCCTGTTTGGAACCTGTATGCCAGTAGGAATCCCCAGATGGGTCATCTTTCATCATAGAACCATCTTTTGGAGTTTCCTTTCATCCACAGTCGGAGTGATCTTTGGTGTATGAGACACAAACGCACATTTAAATTGTGCTTCCGGTGAGTGCGCAATTCATTCATTTCTTCTGCACATTGCCGGACTACATGCATTACAAAGATCTCATCGGGATACACTTATCTGTGTTTCTTTGATGATTGGACTATATTGTGCATTTATATTGTGCGTTTTGTATTGTGAAGTGAAAATTGTTGGAGTTTATGTCATTTCTTCTCCTCCTCCTGTTTCCAACTTATTGGAAGATCACATATAGTGTGTTTGGTCACATATAATGCATATGGGTCCACATCTGCTGATATTTAAGTAAGGGATATTGTACCATCAACTCCAATACTGGTACAGTCATATAACATCAAGCGCTGCACTATTTATCTCACATTTACTAGACAGACAGGGAAACTCAAGTGCATTTTGCCAATGGAGTCCCTGAATGATGAAGAAATCAGGTGACTCTTTAGTATCTATCAAAAACGTTATGACCAATATTTATTGGACTGACCACATAGCTATACTAGGTGCCTCTTCTGATTCATTTCACTCTGGAGAAAAGTAATACAAGGGGTTATTAGTTTGTTAGATGGGTGTGGTGTCACACTTTGGATAATAAAAACAGTAGAAAATCATGCAAACGTGCTAACTGCTGATGCAAGAACCCACAGGTCTATACTGATTGACTATAATATATGTGCAAACAAAACAAATAATGATTCACACAAAATGACGTCCGTCTTACCTGTTTGCTAGGTTAGCTGCACTAGCTGCTGAGTTTCCATTTACCAACAAAGACACATTGGAGATGGCACCAGCCCGGAAACACTCTACGATGCCAACATCTCTGCGAGGGCAGTAACCAAAGTCATCTCCCGTCACCACCAGCTTGAGAGGGTTTAGGAGACATTGCATACATCAGGGGTCATCTGCATGTTGGAATTTATTAAAAACACATTAGTAAATGGACATTAAACTAGCCACAGAATTAAGATGGTGGCCAAACAAGTAAAAAAGCATACATGTATGGCCAATTTCAGCAGATGAAGGAGGAGGAGAGGATGGCCAGATACTCCCAGGATCCTTTTATCAGTTTACCAATCACCTAAGACAATACAACTCCAAAATCTAAAGAAAAGCATGTGTCATCTGTAGCAAAATTAATCATTATCACTGAATTTGGCTCAAATGGGCCAGATCGTGCAACTGTTATCTCTGTTCTGTGGGTTCATTTAGACCCTGCAATTGTTTTATGTATTATTTATTACAGGTACCTATATATAGAGCCGTCAATTTATGCAGCGCTTACGCTAACCCTCAAGGAGCTTACAATCTAAGGTGCCTTACTCACATTCACACAGACTAATTAACCTACCAGCATGTCTTTGGAGTGTTCGAGGAAACCGGAGTACTTGGAAGAAAGCCACGCAGGAACAGGGAGAACATGCAAACTCCAGGCAGGTGGTTTCTTGGTTGGGATTCGAACCGACAACCCTAGTGCTGCCAGGTGGAAGTGCATCATCAAAGTGCAGATTATATCACATGTATCAATAGTATCATATGCTGGAGTATCCAAATTCTGTGTGCACCATCTTCCTTATTGCACATGTGCAGATGCTCCACAGCATGTACAGGACATGCGATCTTTACCTTGTCAGTACTGCCTAGTTTGCCGTAAAGTGACAGCATCACACACACCACATTACAACATTCATATGTGCAAAAATGCAAGTGTAAGAGCAAGGCTAAAGCCCAACTCTAGGAATGAGAAAAATCGATCCTCGCAATGTAAACTAGATTTGAAACCCCCTTCCTGCATTGTATAATAATGAGGGCTAGTGTGGAGACAAAGACACATCAGAATGTCTAGAAATTCCTAGAACCAGCCAGGACACCTGCTCCTTACAAACATATACATTATAGGAATGTTTTTCTTTTTTAAATATGTTGTGTGAATGAATGCCCAAAGGGTAGAGTATTTTTCTAAAACCAATAAAAACAATTTTAAAAAAAAAATGAATGTGCAAATGAGAACACATCATAAACATATAACAGGGTTTGATCAAATTTGACAGCAAAAAGTGGAAATTTGTTTTAGCCTAGGTTCACAATGTCAACCGCATGGGCATCGCACTGCATTCCTGTGCAATTCACATGCGACTTTGAGCACAGTCATTTTGAACGGCATAATAGCACCGCATCAGCATCAAAAAGGGGCTTCCAGCTTCTTTTGTTTTCTTTTTTTATTCGACCTGGATCCAAATTGCATGGGTGTTTATACCAATGCGATCCGGTTCAGGCAAACACACTGCATTTGCGACCTGCTTTTGGGGTGTCATTAACTTTCCATTGACAGCAGCAGTGGATTGCAGAACACAGTGCAATTGCTATGAGGTACGGGAAACGTCATCAGTGTGAACCGGGGCTTAAAACCTCTTGCACACTGGCACTCGAGCCCGTACAATGTAAATCCTGGCATATTTCCCTCCCCTGGAAAGCCCAAGTTGTGCATACAGCAGCCAATAGACATGAATGGTATTATTATTATTATACAGGATTTATATAGCGCCAACAGTTTGCTCAGCGCTTTACAATATAACGGGAGACTATACAGCAACAATACAGTGCAATACAAGAGGGTTAGGATGGCCCTGCTCCTTGGAGCTTACAATCTAGGCGATACTCTGGTGCTTAGATATTTTCTGCATACATCCATACAATATACAAGTGTATAAGTGAGCACTGGCACATACCCAAGTACAGTCAGAAAATGCTCTGCATGGGCTCAGGTGCAGGAGGCCGAAGAGCGCACTATCTTATCGCATTCCATTACCTACAAACAAAAGTCCAAGACTGATTTTGTAGAGTTCTAGCTGTTTATCTGAGAGCAGCTGTCTCTTTCCCACCAGTAACTCTGCCACATCAACACTGTGGGGCTAATTTACTAAAGCTAAACATCTGCAAAATCTGGTGCAGCTGTGCATAGTAGCCAATCAGCTTCTACCTTCAGCTCGTTCAGTTAAGCTTTGGCAATAAAACCTGGAAGCTGATTGGTTTCTATGCAGAGCTGCAGCAAATTTTGCGCTCTCCAGTTTTAGTAAATCAACTTCTATAGTTAGCTTGCATACTTTGTGTGCATCCAGCAGAGATCACTGCAGGTAATCGCTGGCTATATAGACAGCTGTGAAAAGCTGCGGCTGCCGGCAACTTGTTATTACAGTGATTGGGTACAGCAGCTGCAGCAGGAATCAGAAGATTCGAGGGGCCTTTTAGGGCCAGTTCCCACCATAGAAATGCAGTCCGGATGCGTTTCTGTATGTGCGTTTTTGACATGTTTCGGTTTATTTTTTTTTCCTTTCTGTTTTTTCATCCTAATAAGGACATGTGTGTTCTGGTGCGTTTTGTATGTGTTTTACTGCTTTTCAGAAAAAAAGCAAAATGTTCTACTTTTTTTTCTGGAACTGGAACGCACTGGAACTTATTGCACTGGTGTAAACTATACCATTGTAAACCATATAACCTACTATCAAAGCTTTTTTTTTTATGCAGTCCAATGCGTTTTTTTTTTTCTGCATGTGGTGTGAACTGGCCCTTAGGGGGAAAAAAAATAGAATTCTGTGTGTCCACGGGAAGATAAGAAATCCTAAACATATGTAACTGCAGGCACAGTTAGGGCTAGTTCACACTATAGAAAAGCAATCCAGATGCGTACCAGATACATTTCCACGGATGCGCTTTTGACGCATTCCAGTGCGTTTTTTCATACATTTCAGTTCATTTTTTCCCCCTCTCTTTTTCTTCAGGGCCAGTTCACACTACATGCGTTTCAGTTTCTTTTTTTCTGCATCCAAAATGCACAGAGAGAAGGTTATATGGTTGTCCATGTCATAGTTCACATCAGTGCTTGCAGTTTCAGTGCGTTCTGGTTGCAGAAAAAAAAAGTAGAACATGCTGCATTTTTTCTGCACAGAACGGTTCAGGAACGCAGTAAAACTCATCAAAAACGCACGGGAATGCACCAAAAATGCACTGCAACACACATGTCCCTATTTAAAGAAAAAGAGAGTGGAAAAATTAAATTAGAACGCATCAAAAATGCGCATGTGGAAACGAATCCGGAACGCATCCGGACTGCATTTCTATAGTGTGAACCGGCCCCCAATTTAAATAGGGACATGTGCGTTCCAGTGCATTTTTTATACGTTTTGGTGCGTTCCGGTATTTTTTTTATCGCGTTCCAGTGCAGTTCTGTGCAGAAAAAAAAATGCAGCATGTTCTACTTTGTTTTCTGCAACTGGAACGCACTGGAACGGCAAGCACTGATGTGAACTATGACATGGACAACCATTTAACCTACTTTCTGTGCGTTTTGGATGCAGAAAAAAACAACTGAAACGCATGTAGTGTGAACTGGCCCTAAAAGCAGGGGACAGGGATCTGGGAAGTATAAACTTTATGGATCAATGTCCCCTACATAATACAAAGGGCTCCTATAAGTATAGAAGTACACACAAGTATACTAGAATTATCTGCACATCAACAAGCACGTGTACATCTAAAGATAGATAGATAGATATATATATATATATACACAGACACACGTGCACATATTTATCCGGTAATGTCTACATAAGGACACACACGTTCTATACTGAGACATGAGCAGTGCAGAACAGGGAGTAGTAACGTGTGCCTGCACTGTGGATGTCCTCCATACACAGGAAGAAGGAGAAGGAAGTGCTGATCGCACACACACTCACCATCCCCGGTTCCAGCTTCTGTACCGCTTCCCAGTGATCTGTCATTTCCTTCAACACTCATCACCCTGAAGTGTCCATCCGAAACCCCGCCCGGCTCCCCATGATGTCACATCAGAACCCCGCCCCTAACATGTTCCGCCTTCCTATTCCCCAGGACGGTGACGTGTAGAGCAGAAGGCGATCACTGTGCAGAGGACACCCAGCAGCTGTCATTGGGGCTCCTCCCTGCCTGTCATCCCTTTCCCCTGCCTCCAATACCTCCCATCACAGATAAGGGGCTGTGCACAGCTCTAATGCTGACTGATTCGTGCCATCTGCATACTTCTTCCTGTCCAGTGTGATAGAAAAGCATTGCAGGCAGAGGCAGGCAGCATTTTTAGGACTCATTTGTGCTAATGCTGCCATCTGAAAAGCAATATCGAGGAGGTTGCATGCCAGTTATTGTGGGAGAAAGGGTTAAATACTTTTTTGTTTTATAATGTCTTCTAATAATTTTTGTCAGCACACTTTCTCCCTCACCGCTAAGACCTAATCAATACTGCAATGTTTATTCAAGTCTATGAATCCTAGGTCATGATACTCTGTTTGCTGATCTAGCTGCAAGTACTGAACTTTGATTTCCACCAGTTTTAGAAATTAACCTAGCTGGCAAGATATAGGTATCCTTGGTAATAACGTTCTGATTGGTTAAAGTGTCATTGGTTGTAATATTCTGATTGGATGGAGGCACATCCCTCGCTCGGTACCAGTTTGTATTTAGTCCCACCTCACGCTACCATTAAATGAACACACTTAAGAGTCTATCTGTGTCCTGGTCTTTATTGTGTGTTCCCAAGGATCCTTGAAAGGGGTCTCACAGATCATCCGAGGAACAAACATTTATGCTATCAGTTAGAACACTTGAAAGCCCACCTGTATGTGACTCAGCCCCAGGGGCGGACTGACAACTCATGGGGCCCCCGGGCAATAGGGGATCATGGGGCCCGTGTCCTTGCCCAAACTCAAAAAAGCCTATAAAAAAGGTACCAGGGGCATCTCCCGGGGCCCCCTACTGACCCCGGGCCCTCAGGCAGTGCCCGAGTTTCCAAATGGTCAGTCCACCCCTGGTCAGCCCTATTCACTTAAAATAGGGTTAACTTTCAGTACCAAAAGCAGTAAC